TCTCCCGACCAGGTGACACGGGAGCACCAGGGGATGCTGCCACCACCCCTCCCGCAGAAGAAAATCTTCACGGTTTGCTCAATGATTCGTGAACCCCATCCCGCGTTATTGTTGCTGGGAGAAGATCTCAGCCAACACCAACCAGTCTTCAGCCCGATGCGTCCTGGTGAAGCTCGGAAGATCGTGGGCAGCCATCGCTTCCAGCCAACCTGGTGGGGCGACGATGGAAACTGCACCACGATCCCAGAAAAACTCTTCAGGAAGGAAGCGCCGGCGAGGACGAGACCCCTGAAGATCTTTGATACCGAATCCGTGAGAGGCTTCGTTCTCCAACTCGACCTCCGTGGATTTTACAGAACAGAAAGGGGTTCTCTCACACCCGCCTCCAGCCAGGAGCTGCAGGCAGCAGCAGGGCACAGAAGAACTCTCAGGACATTCATGGGGAGAGGTTCCCGCTCAGATAAAATAAGCTTTTACAAGGTAGGAGATGGGGATGGGAGCAAATGGCCCGACTGCGTCTCCTGGGTCACTTTCAGGAGTCCTCGATGCAGAATTTCAGCAGTAAAAATGCTGATAAAACAGATTTTGGTGATTTCTGCTTACTTTGAACCTGTGATGCAGAAACATCATTTGGGAGCGAGCTTTAAAAAAGCCTAAAAACCGACGGCAGATTCAGGGTAAGAATTGCTGGTTTTGGTGCCTGATGGGGCAGAGCCAGCCCCATCTCCCATAGGGCAGGAGGCCGACCACCACGTCCATCCTGTGTCCGTTTTGAGCTAATTGCTTATGTGCAAGTGTAATTAAAGCTGTACAGGATGGGAAATTCTTGTGATTTAGGATGGGGAACGGGCCAGGCAGGAGGGGAGCCCAGTATATTGAGCGTGCCCATCCTCGATGCCCACCCTCACGCACCTGACTGAGCACAGAAACATTTATTAGCAGCATCTTAAAAAAATAAAACATATATTAGACATTGATTTCCAAAAGGTTCTCATCACAATCAGTAGTGGCAGCAGGAACAGCAGCAAGACAAAATTCAAGTAGAGGTATTGCAAACAGCCCCAGCTGCTGTGGCAGCGCTGGCTGGTACTTGGCGCTTTTTTTTTTAATCTCTTTTTTGGCCTTTCACGCTCATTTTTAAAATGAAGAGATGCCAAGGGCTGCGAAAGCCCTTCATGCACTTGTCCCCCAGCCTGCACAAGTGTCCTCTGCCCCGTCCTACCAGCCTTGCACGGTCAGGGAAAAATTAAAAAAAAAAAAGAAAATTAAAAAATAAATTTTATGCTCTCCCAGCCTTTCAATGCAGGGATTGCCCCCAACCCAGGAGCACTTGGCTGCTGAACTTGGAGGCAGGGGGACACGGAGGTGGCTCAGAGGTTGCAACAGCCAAAAATCACCTGGAAGGATTGAGCTGAGTGAGCCAACGTCCCTGAGCTTCTTTTCAACACTGCAAAAGCGAGATGGCAGCCTCCCTCCAGAAGCAACTATGCCCACGGGCACCCAAAAGTAAAGAAAAAACATCCAAAAAAAGAAAAATCAATGGATCAGGAGGGTTTTTTCCCCTTTGAGCATCTCATGTGGGTGCACAAGGCAGTGAGGAGAAGCTTGGCTGGGTGTGGAGCCCCCCACGCGCTGCAGGTCAGAGGAGCAGGATCTGCTTCGACGACGTGAAGGGCTTCATGGCAGCCTCCAGCGCCACCCGGTAGTCCTTTTTGGAGAGGCACGTCGGTGCGGGCTGGCGCCGTGAGCTGCCCCGTCCGCATGAGCTGGCACAAGGTGTCCATCATCCTGGTCAGGCTCTGCGGGTCTGCAAGGGAAGGAGGGAGCTCTCACCGTTCCACGTCCCAGGCGAGAGCCACCAAACACCCGCATGAAGGCACAGACAGTCCCAGGGATGCTGGGGTGCAACTGGGGCATGTGCAATGGGGTGAGACCCCCCGACACGGTGGCGTGCCCAAGCCACACTGCCCAGCACCTGCGTTTCAGCCTCCATGAGGACTGTCAGGCTCATGACACAAGAAAGAGCCAAGAGGACGGCCCCGGCGGGGCGGCTTGGGAGGCCAGCGTGGTCCTTCTTCCACTGGGTCATCCAGAAGCCGCGGAGCCGCACGTCCCGAAAGATGAACGAGCTCTGCGGAGAGAAGGAGGTGAGACCTACGTGACCCCTCCCGGAGTGATGGCGGCGGCAGGAGGGGGCGGGCCGGCTCCCCGCCC